GGGTGAATTGGGTGAGTTACAAAAACTTAAAAATTAAAGCGAGACAGTATTAAAAAGAACCAGAGAGTCAGAGTCAGGAGAGATTTCACCGAAGAGGGAAGACACGAGATTTATACTGGTTCGGTCTTAACCTTGACCTACGTCCAGTCCTCAGAACTCTTCTGAGTATTCCACTATCTTCCAAGATTGACAGGGCTCTTGGTGCCTCGGTACAGTAATTGAATCGCTCAATCGCTCCCCCTTACTCCTGTAAGGATATAATCCCTCTCAAGAGTCCACACTCTTGAGTATCACTCAATAGTATTAAATGAAGAGTAGTTATCGGCTCTCTTACAGAGTGAATTTAATGATGAACACTGATGCTCAGTAGTATTAAAGAAAAACAGAGTATTGAATGCTAGGCTTAGTGATCACAGGTGGTAGTTCCGCTATTCAAATCTCTTCATTAATGCTTCTTCGCGCCTTTTATAGTTGAGGTCGTTAATTAGCCGTTAGACGGAAGAGCTTCTAGCCGTTGTGACTCCGTTTGTGTGCTTCGCCAGTTTCAACGGTTCCGCCATTAATGCGTCTGAGCTTCTGACACTGTAGGTTGTAGCCTACGTAATCACGTTGAAGAGCCGTTGTATTCTTTCTCAGTAATCTGCATATTTAAGGCTTTAAACAAGTAAGAGTCTTGCGGTGTAGGCTTTAGTCATGAACCAAGAAGGGAAAACAAATTTATCATTCAATGATTTTGGACGAAGTGATTTATCTGTAAAAAGAGCAGAAAGACATTCTGGATATGCTTGATCGAAGTGGTGATCGATTACTTGTTGATCGATCAGGTTATCGATAAATAGAGTGAAAGCTTTTTGAATCAGTTCATCAATATTATCGATCAAGTGTTGGATCATTGACTTTAAGAATTATCAAGGTAAATGGAAATCGTTCCATGATCGAACAAGTGGTCGAACAATTGTTGATCGAACAGATTATCGATAATTCAAATGTTACAGAAATGAAACTTCAGTTATTGATGATCGAACAAATTATCGATAAATAGATGATGGATAAGGTTATTGATAAACCATAAGTAAGAATATATATAGCGAAAAACACAGTCTATCTGGAATGATCGAACAAGTGATCAATCAATGATTATTCGAACAAGTGATCGATAAAGTGTGAAAAGAAATTTAATCCTGTAAGCTAAAGAAACGGATTATCGATCACGTTTTGTGAAAACATGAGTTTCAGGAAATTAGATGATCGATCTCATTATCGAAATGTCAATGATCGATTAGGTGATCGAAAAAAATGGTTCAACATAAGTGAAGATAACAATCCTTAGACTCTTTATCGATCAAGTTATGTGAAAAGGTATTATGCAGACAAGATAAATTATCGATAATGTTATCGATAATTTGGTTGCAGAAAACTAAATATGAGCAGGTGGAAACATTGATTATCGATCATGTGATCAATAACTTTCTGATCGATAATGTTATCGATTCAGCAGTTATGATGGCTTCCTGCATCCAGAGGGTTAGAGCATAATGTTCGATTATGTGTTCGATAAGTAAATGATCGAAGATATGATGGATAACAGAAATAATATACAGAACGAGTAGAGTGTTACCTCTTATCGAATTCGTTATTGATAACAGATTTATCGAACATGTGATCCATAAATGTACTTCAGATTTGACTCTCTTTATCAGTAACTCGATTGTTTATCTGATGTTATCGATCAGTTGATCGATAATTAACCGTAACCTTGTGTGATTTCCATGTTAGCGAAAATCGATCATTTTATCGATTAACCACTTATTGAATAGTTCTTCGATCAAAATACCTACTATAAAACTGATTTACACTTGAACAATTATCTGTAACCTTAGCGATAAATGTTTGATCGATCAGATGATCGATCAATCATACTTAACTCAATTAATCTAACTTTGTTATCATCAAAACTATAATCCTAACACAAATTCTCTCCGTCTGGCTTGACGGATTAATGCAAAAATTACTTACTCAATTAATTGGCATTATTGGTGGTTCAATTAGATTTTCTATGCAAAAAGAGTTATATGTAATTCGATATAGTATGACATAAGATGACAATAAAATTAATTAAATAATCATCCTGGCAACAAAACAAATTAAATATATTAACTTTTTTCCCCTCACCTACGCACACATATATTCAACTAATTTATTTACTATCTTGTCTTTTAGGGCTGCGCATGGGACAGGAGAGGACCGGGACAAGCCCGTCCCAAACCTGTCCTGGTGAATAAGAATGAGACAGGAAATCTGTCCTGTGTCCTCGGGATCAGAATGAGACCGGGACATCCCTTTTTTATAAAAATATTTTATGCTTTATGGTTAGACCTATTGCAATGGATTTTGGTTATTTTTCTTCTTCTATTTTTAATTCTTTGGGCTTAACCCTTTTGAAAGCATCTTTTTCTTCTTTTTTTTAATTTCTTTGGGCTTAAAAATAAATAATAATCAGTAATATAATAACTCCAAAATTCATTTTTACCATTTCAAAAATCATAAGCAACTATAAAAACTCTAAATAAATAATAACCATTCAACTATATACGTCCTGAAAGTTAAAAATATAAACTTTTTGCATTACACATGCCTTAAACATTTTCCATTTTTAACATTTAATAATTATTATATTATAAGACAATAAAAAATATTACTATGGGGACCCTCATCCCATGTCCCATCCTGGTCCCATTTTTTGTCTCATCCCAATATGATCAGGACCGAGATAGACTAGCCAGGACGGGCCTATTTAAACACCCCTACTGTCTTTAACTCCATGAAGAGGTAAACAAATTAAAATTATTCACAAGTAGGTTGATCATGTAAACTAAACAAGTTTTAAAACTGGATATTAATATATTCTACCTATTTAATGACCTTTCATTAATCCCAACCAAAGGGAATTAGCAAAACTAGTTGCAAGATGATTGCCATGTGAGATGTATCGCTAGCTTATTATTTATAATAATAGTGATGGCAATGAACGTATTATGTAAGAAAACTTCTTAATTTTTCAAACGATAAAATAGCTTTTGGCTTCATCAATAATTCCTTTTCGTAGCAGTTACTGGTCAAATAATATAACTTAAACGAAAACCGTTTAAACTTGTCAGGAACTTTAAACGTAAAAATAACGAAGTGTAGTATTACAGCAAGAGCCTTTAGTTTCTCCTTCTCCTCTCTTCTGAACTTTGTTCAAATTTGCCATGGGAGAAGCTCAAGAAGTGAGCTTTCCAAAATAGGTATAGGTTAGTTAATACTGTCCATAAATGTGATCTCTCTTCCTCTTCAGATATACGAATCACACAGCAAAAACTTGCTCCATATTCACACGTCTCCTTTTTTCTTTTTTGTCTGACACACATGTTTCCTTATTCCATTTTTTTTTCCAGTACCTGAAGGAGCAGTTGAAACAATTACTAATGTGGGTAATGGCAATCTGTGGAGCCAATCAGGCAGTGTGATCAAAATGAAAAAGAAATATCAGCATTGGTTAAGAATAGGCTTGTACGCTGTTCTTGTGCTGGTGGGCCAATCAAGTGCGATACTTCTGGGAAGACTCTACTACGAAGAAGGTGGAAACAGAAAATGGACAGTAACACTTGTCCAACTTGTGAGTTTCTCTATTCTCCCATTTTATGATATTCCTGCAGCCAAACACCCCACTGCAGAAAAATACCATTCACAATAGTGATCAGCAACCTTCTGCTTTAACCTTCTTTTTTCTACATATTCTCTTATTTGGTCATCAAAGTTAGCCTTCAATGCCTTCTTCTCCGTCCTCAACTCACAGAAATTCACACCTTACATCATAAACTTTGTTCCTGTTAACAATCTCCTCCATCCTCCTCGTTCTTCAAACTGATTCTTCTGTAGAATCCAACACTAAGTTTCATCAGGAACGAAGAAATATGTGATCGGGTTAATAAGCACAGTTGCTGCTGCAGCTGTGTATGGATTGATGCCTTCTCTGACACAGATTGCATTCAGTACAGTTGTAAAAAGCAAAAGCTTCAAGGGCATTTTCGACATGATAGTGTATCCGTCACTTGTGGCCTGTTTGGTAACAGTGATGGGGCTGTTTGGTAGTAGATAGTATAGAGGCTTGAAAAGAGAAATGGAGGAGCACGAGATGGGGAAGGGAAGTGATGTGTTGACATTGAGCTTCACTGCTATAACATGGCAACTTTATGCAGTGGGGTGTTTGAGTTTGATTCCAGAGGTGTCTTCTTTGTTCTCTGATGCCTTAAGTATTGTGGGTTTACCTATTGTGCCAATGTTGGCTGTGTTGTTACGTTGTTCCGTGACACAGTGAATGGGTTGAAGTGGATCTCTTTGGAGCTTTTTGTCATGCGTCTATCAGCAGTATCTGGATAAAACTAATTCCAAGACTCAAGAACAAACAAGGGATATTTTCAGAGATTCACAGTCTCTCCAAGTGATTAATGAATAATTATATGTATTTTTCTTTTTTCTTTTTTTTTTTTTGAAGGGTTGGTGAGTTGTGAGTGAGGGGTAAAGAAATTAAGGCTCATATATACAATGTATGGGGTATGGATGGAAAAGGAATGAAAAATAATGACTATAACATATTTGGTCCGAATAGAGTATATATTGAAAGGTAGGGAAAAAAAATAATGAAGAGAGTTATAAGTTTCCCACAATGACAAATTCTTTATTATGTTAACTTTTTAATTCATAAGTTGAATATATCATTATTGTTTAAAAATAGTACACTATTTGGGTGTGGTTAGAATATTAAAAATTGCATGAGGACTTTCTTGTCAAGAAAATTTTCTCAAATGAACAAGAGTGTATTACAAGGATCACCAATGAAATTGCTGCTAAGATCAACATGCAGCGTTTACAGATTACGGATTATCAAGTTGGAATTGTTCCTCGAGCCAAGAAAGTTATCTCTTGCTTAGATCTTTGGTCTACTGAAGAGAAAAAAAATGATAGGAATTTGGGGAGCTCGGGGAATAGGTAAATCCACTATTGCAAGAGCTATATATAATTCCATTGCTGATCATTTTGAAGGCTTATGTTTTCTTTCTAATGTAAGAAAAAGTTCTCAAAATCCAACTGGTTTGTCACATCTTCAAGAGACATTATTACGTACATTAGTTAAGGAGAAAGATCTCAAATTGAGTGACTGTCACGAAGGAATACCAATAATAGAACATAGGCTTCGTAAGAAGAAGATTCTTTTGATTCTTGACGATGTTGACAAATCAGAACAATTAAAAGCACTTGCTGGAAGTTGTAACTGGTTTGGTTGTGTAAGTAGAATAATCATCACAACCAGAAATAAGAAATTATTAGTAAGTCATGGTGTTACAAGCATTTATGATGTCAGGGAATTAGATGATAAGGAATCTCTTAAGTTGCTTAGTTGGCATGCCTTTGAAAAAGAAGACGTGGATTACAACTACATGGAGGCTTGCAATCTTGCCATAAATTATTCGTGCGGTTTTCCATTAGTTTTAGAAGTGATTGGTTCTAACTTGCGTGGTGAAGGAGTTAATCTCTGGAGGTCTGCACTGGATCATTTCAAAGGCATTCCACATGAAAGTGTTTTGGGCGCCTTCAAATTAAGCTATGATACTTTAGAAGAAGTGGAGAAACAAGTTTTCATTGACTTCGCTTGTTTTTTCAATTGTGAGAAATTAGCAATTGTCAATGATGCGTTGCTATGTGTTTGTGGAATCCGATTAGAATATGCTATTAAAGTGTTGACTGATAAATCCCTAATCAAGATTGAACAAGATTGTGTAATAATGCACAACTTGATTGAAGATATAGGTAAAGAGATTGTTCAACAAGGATCATCATGTGAGCCTGGTGGACGTAGTAGACTATGGTTCTACAAAGACATTCTTCATGTCTTACAACAAGACACGGTAAGATCACCAACATGCATTTTCGTTTTCTCAAAAAAAAAAAAATTATAATGATTCATAACATCTGAGTTTTGAAATTTATTGTGCGTGATTATCATTTTGGAAGGGGACTCACCAAATTGAAGCCATAGTTCTAGACTTACCTGAAAGTATAGAAGTACAATGGAGTGGAGAGGCATTCATGAAAATGAAAAATCTAAAAATGCTTGTGATAAGAAAAGCGTGCTTCTCTGAATGTCCCGAATATCTGCCAAAGAGTTTGAAGTGGTTGGAATGGAAGGGGTATTCTTTCAAGTTTGTACCATCTTTGTGCCCAACTGAACTTGTCTATCTTGACTTGTCCTTCAGTTGTTATGAATTGCTCCAACCATTTGACAAGGTGAGTATATAAGTATCCTAACAGTTTTACTTTTGTGTTTTTTTTTTGGCCTAATTATGAAAAGTAAATTGATATTTGTGTTGTAGGCGTTTCACAATATAAGTTGTATGAATTTAAGAAACTGCAAATTTCTGCAGCAAATACCTGACTTGTTTGGAGCTTCTAATTTAAAAGAATTGTGGCTTGATGGCTGCACAAATTTAATTGGAATTCGTGATTCAGTTGGATGTTTAAATAAATTGAGAGAATTGAGTGCTATGCGATGCAAAAATTTGAAGATTTTGCCATCTTGCCTTAAGTTGACCTCTCTTAAAAGTCTCAACCTCTTTGGTTGTTCCAGTCTTTAGAGATTTCCAGAAGTATTAGTCATGATGGAAGAAATGCAAACACTTGACATAGACAAGACAGCAATTACTGAATTGCCATCTTCAATTTGCAATCTTATTGGACTTGAAATCTTACACGTGGAAGAGTGTCGTAATCTTGCGCAACTACCAGCTAGCATTTGCACATTACCAAACCTTTGGAAACTGAGAGCAAATTCCTGTGAAGGAATGAGTCATTTTAAGATGTGTGAAGGTGGAGGTGAAGCAAGTGTAGGTTGCTCGGCAATGGCATTGAAAATGGAACAACTTTTTTTCTCAAATTGCAATTTATCAGATGATTCTCTTGCTTTCTGTCTAGCTAACTCCACTAATATGATACATTTAGATCTGAGTTTTAACAATTTCACAATTCTTCCAGAATGCATCAAAGAGTATCACAATTTGAAATATCTTTTGTTGGATAATTGCGACAAACTTGAGCATATTGGAGGGATGCCACCAGACTTGGAGAAATTTAGTGCCATACGTTGCACATCATTGACTAAGTTATCCAAAAACAAAGTAATGGAGCCGGTATCTCTAATCCCCCAAGCCCTCTCTCTATGATTATATTCTTTTCCTATTACTTATGTGTTTGTGAATTTTTTTTTTCTTTTGGCAATATGCAATTTGCAGGCAATGAACTTTCGATCTGGGAAAAGAAACTTTATTTTACCTGGAGAAAAATTTCCAGAAGGGCTCCACAACTATAGTCGGGAAAATTTTGTGTCATTCTGGGTTCGCAATATGTTCCCAATGACTTTTCTCTGGATTCTTGTTAAAGATAACCAGGATGATGTCTACAGTTGTCAATTCTCTGTGGACATTGACGAGGCCATCAGGCTGGGTATTTCTTCTATGTGGAGTTCATTGTCACCAATAAAGACTAATCATATTTATATATGTGATATGCAAAGCATGATTCACAACACTGAACTCCCCATTACAAATGAGTGGAGTCAAGGGAAGGTTTCTATTCAGAGCACAACACAGGAAACAGAAGGCGAAAAAGAAATTTACCTTGGAGTTCATGTATACTATCTACAAAGCAACTTGGAAAATATTCAATTCGTGGAACCCGGGGATTACTCAACAAAAGGTATTTTCCCTTCCCCCCGTCTCTTTATTTTACCATTGATATTCTTATTTTAACCGCTTGTAACTTCAATTCATCATCGACTTATACTCTTTTTTATTTTTCTTTTTTTTTTACTTTTGGAAGAACTCAAAGAATATGACTATAACTAAGGGACAAAGGAAAATATAACCGTTGTTCCTCTCTCCCAAATTTTCCTCCTCAATCTCCTTATATTCTTATACCTTTTCCCACACACTCTCTTTTCCTTTGTCTGGCGGTGCGCCGAGTTTGTTGGAGGAGATATACTTGAGGAAACATTAGTAAGAAATCTCATAATGAGAACTTAACTAGTAATTGATTTCATTTAGGAAGAATTGTACAAAAGTCCCACATAATTGAAATAACTGCAGAGAAATCCTAATACAATCCGAAATTACTCTGCCTGACCAAGGAATTAATTGGAAATTATTTTTTATTTTAAATTACTAAAGTGCTCTTCCATTATTAAAAGGAAAAGCTCCCACCACCGCTGAAGATCTGGCGCGGCAGCGCCAATGACATTAGAACTTTTTTTTTTGGCCAACCAGTGAGATAAGAACCTTTACTGGCTAAAATGAGTACACAAACTTGTAAATTTAAAAACTTTTGCTTCCTTGTATGTGATCAAGTTAGTTGCATTAATGTGCTATAAGTTTTTAGAGAAACAACTGTGGAATATGATATATTTTCTTTTATAAGAGACATAGAAATTGTCTCAAATTTTATTTATAGATTTATCATTGTACCTATTTAATTACTTATATAATTTATATCATTGTGTTTAATTCTAACATATTCTCTCTCCATCTCAAATTCTCTCTCTTCCACATAAATGAGTTTTTTTTTACAAAAATATTATATTTTTTAATATTTATTGTTTTCAACTGATTTTAACTAACATTTCACACAATGTAATTTGGTTAATTGTTTTTATGAAAAAGAATGGAGGGAGTAAAATTTAATTTTTAATTATTTATCTTGTGGGAGGCTTTATGTACACGTCAACCTATGATGTGTGTCTATCATTGTGTGACATTTTGTAGACATTGAAAATTAAATTCCTATTTTTTTGCCAACGAATTAAATTTCGATTTTAGGACTTGTCTTTCCGACTTGAAGCATATACAATATTACTAGGACCCCGCCGGGGGGTGGCTCCTTCATGGCTTAGTTGAGCATCACTCTCTTCGCATAGCAAAATTGCCTATTTTGAATTTTAATATTATTTGCAATATTTGCCAAATAGAGTATATTTGTTTACCATAACATATATACTGCTTTTAATATTTATCCTAACACATACATACATACATACATATATGCTTCATATACACAATATTTTTTCAAAAATGTTCATGGAATAATTTATTTCTCATATATACGCATATCTTTTTGTTAGGAAATCATGTTACATTAGATTTTTCTAAAAAACGTTATACTTGCTTTTCTGGTATCTCGGCATCTCAAAGAAAATACTGCCCTCGTCGCTTTTTATAAGAGAGTTTTTTGAAGCATCAATTTGTTCCTATTTATAGCAGATTCCAATAACCTATCTAAAATATTTATCACTATCTTTGATTCTGAATATAAGATTGTAAGAGCCAGTTAATTAATTTGGATAATACATTAAGGAAGTCAAATTAATTGATCATAACAATTGTGACATAATCTCCTTAAAATATCCTTATATAACATTAGATTATTTATCAATTTATAAGTTAGATAAATTAGTTTGGAAAAAAATAACAAATAAAAAAATTAAGATCTTATATTTGTAATCAAATCTAACTCTCAAATTAACTTTTATATTAAGTGTTAAAGGGAGTGTTACATTTCATTTTTGTCCTACTTATTATTGCACCAGTATTGATTAGTCAAGCTCCATTAGTTATCCAAGCCGCCCTTGTTTATAACACAATCTCGTAGGAGCACAAAATTTTTAAAATCGCTCATTTGGTACAAGGTTTTTCCATTTTGCAGCTTATAATTATTATAAATTTATTGTTAATTTGTTACTATTAACGCTGCTACAAATGTGACCATCATCAATCACAACTTAAGTTTCATTCTATATTTTTAACATTTGCAAGGTCAAAAAAATTTTATATTTTTAACATTTTCGAAATGGTTATGTTATCCTTACTTTAGTGTTTCTCAATATTTATTTCTATTTTCATGGACAGAGATGTGTATTATGCACGGGTTTGGATCTTATCAGGATTTAGAAATTTTGGAAGATGGCGGTTATAGGGGTATAACATATCCAATTTGGTCAGGAGATCGTTGCTACGACAACTTGATTAAGTTGCGCCTAACAGATTGCAACAGATGTCGGAGAATTCCTGCACTTGGCGAACTGCCTTCTCTGAGGTCCTTAAGGATTGAAAGATTACAAAGTGTGGTGACTGTGGGTTCCGAGTTTTACAAGGCTGCAAATGATTGTGCTTCCCTCATAGTACCGTTTCCGTCGCTTGAAACTCTTCATTTTGAAGGTATGATCTCCTGGCAACAATGGCGTTCTATTGATAACCGAGTTTTTCCTAAACTCCGCTTTCTTCGCTTTGTTGATTGCCCCAAATTAATTGGAAATTTACCTCTACAACTTTCTTTAGAGGGTCTGGAGATTATGTCACGTCCACTGCTTGCTTCTTCTATCCCAAAGTGTCCAAACATTCACCAGTTAGCTATAATTAAAAGTCCAAATGTAATGTTGCAAGAGCAAGAATTACCACCATCCCTACGCGGCCTGGCAATTTCAGGTGGGCGCATGTTGGAGCCTCTGTCTGAAAAGTTGCATATTGAAGATTTAACGGTGGATTGTTCTGATGCTCTGCCACCTGCAGTGATTCACATTCCCGCTTCAGTGAAACAGTTAGAGGTGAGAAACTGTGAAAATCTCAAGGATTTTTTGGTTTAAAAGGCCCCTCTTCTTCATCTCCGAAAGATTTCCCTTTACAAATGCAAGTTTCTGCCGTCCTTGTTTGATGACATGGAACGTCTTGTCCCAAATTTAGAAGAGTTAAGAATAGCAGGATGTCCAGAAATGGAGCCATTTTCAGCAAGGTCCTTATCATCCAGTTCAAAACGGCTTGAGATAAGAGAGTGTGACAAGTTATTGTCACGTCATACACAACGGCATCGCCTTCCAACTATCACTGAGCTTCTCATCTCTACTCTATCTGACACACTGCATTGCACAGGCCTTAACAACATCTAACTCTCTTCAGCTACTGGAAATTGTGGATTCTTTCAGCCTTGAGAAACTAGAAGGAGGAATGCTGCCTCCTTCTCTACATCGGCCCCACATTAGGCATTGTGGGCTTCTTGAACAACGATGTCGCAACAAGGATGAGGAAATTTGGCCCAAAATCTCCCACGTTCCATACATCAGTTTAAATGCAGAGGATTTAAGGTGCACTGATATGACCTCTTGCTCCAATTACTGGTTTAATATTCAGTGTTACATTTTGCATATTACATGCCAGTAGAAAAAGGAGTGCTTCCATGTAAAATGTTCCTCATTATTTAATTATATGATACTGCTATTACTCGTCTTTTGTGGAGGAGTGAAATTAACTTCGAAGACACTTTTTCTTATTCTTAGTATTTTTCCTCACTCTAAACCTCTTGAAGCATGCCTTTTTTTCCCCTGAAAATTTTCTCGCTGTTTGATTCTTCAATGACTTCAAATCGTTTCATTTCATTGTTCTTGTATATACTCCCTTCCAAGCCAACAAGTTACTGCAATTTATTCAAGTACTTCTTGAAAAATGAGCATATACTAATTATTCACAGATACGTCGTCACTCAAAATTCTGCACAAGTTAGTGCACAAATTATCATGTGATTACATTTAAAATGAATGTTTTTGCTTTTAATTATTATTTGTATTTGTATTTAAAACAGTTTACCTTGGGTGGAACTATTATTAGTTGGTGTGTGTGTGTGTGTGTGTGTAAAACAAGGGTGTTCTTCTGGGTGCAGGGATATGCATGAAGATTTTAGATTCAGTGAACCCCACGGAGGATGAAGGTAGTTATTGATCCTTTTTCTTTTGTCATGTGTTGTCACTGACATTGTCTTCATATTATATCCTTGGTTTTATTTTAAAATGTTACTATCTCTAGTCCATATTATAATAATCACCATAACAACTTTACATAAATAGTTAAAATTAATTATTTATTGTAAAATATTAGAATTACACTCAATAGTTAAAGGAGCTTCGATACTTAGGAAGTTTTATAGTAAGTTAGGAATATTGGGCTGAAAAACTTGATGCTTCAAACAAAACATGTATTATGCTATACATATAATAAGAATAGGAAGCTTAAGGAGCGTTTATCATGGTAAGAACTAAAAGAATATGCTTATAATGAAGAGAGAAAGGAAAACATAATGAAGTTATGTGAATTTTTAATGAGGAAAAAAAAGTAAAATTACTTTGTATTTATTTCTCTTTATCCTTTCCTTGGCCTTCTTCCTCTACCAATTTTTCCCTCTCAATCTCCCAATTCTCTCATTTCATTTTAGCCTTCTCCTCTCTCTGTTGCTCACCACAAACGATGAGCACGTAATTTGGACCGTCCAGTGTGTTGGGGATATTTCTAAAATGAAAAGCTGTATTTTTTAGAAAGTCAGGTACTTATGTAAATTTATTAAATTAATAAATTTAGATGGAGGGTTGTGTCCTATAAATTAATATATTTATATGAGGGGTCATGTCTTCATATAAATTAATATATATTTATATGAAGGGTTGTATAGGTAGTTACAACCCTAAAAGATACCAAAGTTAATTTCTAAAGACATATAGAAAGGTAGGATAACCACCACTTGGTGGAAGGTTATGTCATTTTCTCAAGGCAATCTTACATATTAAAAAGTATGACTCTTCATGGAAAGGATATTAAATATCTTTCAGTTATTTAAATTATCGTAGTTTATGAATCAACATATGGTTGTGACTTTTAGTTGAAGAGATATTATTCTAAGAGGCATCTTTTTGAGGAATCACTTCATAATCTATAAACCCCCCGCCATCAATCTATTTAGACAAGAAGAAAGGACATACAACAAAACACAAAACAAGATTAAACCTGTTTCCTTTATCTTTGAATACAAGCAAAGATAAAATCGAATTTTCACTTTGTAAAAGTCATTATTCCTTTGGCTTGAATTTTGATAATGCAATTGATATTCAAGGATATCTATTGTATCATGTGAGAAATTACCAGTCAACCTAAGTTGTATCTTATAATATTAATAGGTAGAGGCGAATTAAGCCTAAAAAAATATTGGCCATGCTTTAAAGATATCATGCATCACTTTCTTCCTTATCTCTTCTTATACTCTTTTGACTCCGCACACAGTGAATATCGAATTTGATTCTCTAGAAATCAATGACTTGTCTGGATGTGCAGCCTGGCCTGTGTTCGTAGTTCGTTAAACATGATTTCTTAGAAAGCCTTGCATGTAATTAGCTTTTGCCAACGTAATGAATTATCCTGTTTTAATTAAAAGTTTATGTTATAACACAGCGTCAAAGCATAAAATTTACTTAAGATTGCTCATTTGGTACAAGCTTTGGCCAATTTATAGTTTATTATTATTAGGGTAAAACACATCGACCTCCTCTCTATTTAACCTAAGTTACAGGACCTCCTTTTTATTTTAAAAACCTATATAGACCTCTCTTAAAATCGAAATATATATTGCACAAAACTTCCTTCTAGTATTAAAGATTCAACTTCCATCCACCTAACCATTAGTTGACTATTAAATCATTGGATCGACCAGTTATTTTGACCAAAACACCCCTCCTTAATGCAAATATTACTTAATAATTATCATTTAATCACATGTGATATATCTGTATTTAAAATTTAAAAAATAATTTTAATGCACATTTTAAATTTTTTGTCACACTATTAAATCCATCGCCATATTATAAATTTAATTAATTTTATAAATACAAATTTTATTTTATAATAAATTTAAATGTTTAACGTTGTTTATTTATTAAAACTTACTTGTGATGTAATTTTTTAAATATATGTATTATCTGAAAATATTTTGTAATTATATATATGTATTTTCAATTAAATTATAAAGTTATGTCTTAATTTAGTAAAAATATTAAATGGATCATTCATAAATATTAATATTAAAAGATAAACTGGAAATTTAATACTCTTCCGATTCTAAATATAAGACCCATTTTATAGTGTAAAATATGTCTTATATTTAGGACCGGAAGGAGTATGATGAGGGGTAAAGCAGTAAATAAGATTTATTTTAATATTTTTTAATAAAAAAATTATACTCAAAGAATCTTTTCGGAATATTCTTTAAGGGTAGTCACAGTTTTTTATTTTGTTACACCATCACAAGTTTTTTTTTTCCCCTTTAACCAGCACTACAGCTTAAGTTTTATTCTATATTTTTAACATTTTTGAAATGTTTATGTTATCCTTACTTTAGTGTTTCTCAATATTTATATCTATTTTCATGGACAGAGATATGTATCGAGCACGAGTTTGAATCTTATGAGGATTTAGAAATTTTGGAAGATGGCGGTTATAGGGGTACAACAGATGCAATTTAGTCATCAGGAGGTCGTTCCTACGACAACTTGATTAAGTTGCGGTTGACTGATTGCAACAAGTGTTGGAGAATTCCTGCACTTGGACAACTACCTTCTCTGAGGTCCTTAAGAATTAAAAGATTACAGAGCGTGGTGACTGTGGGTTCTGAGTTTTTCAAGGCTGCAAATGATTGTGCTTCACTTACAGTACCGTTCCCCTCCCTTGAAACTCTTCATTTTGAAGATATGCAACAATGGCATTCTATTGATATGCAAGATTTTCCTAAACTCCGCAGCCTTCGTTTTTTTAATTGCCCCAAATTAGTTGGAAATTTACCTCCCCAACTTCTTTCTTTAGAGGGTCTGGGGATTAGGTCATGTAGACTGCTTGCTTCTTCTATCCCACAGTGTCCAAACATTCAATTGTTAGCTATAATTAAAAGTCCAAATGTAGTGTGGCAAGAGCAAGAATTACCACCTTCCCTGCGCGGACTGGGAATTTCAAGTGCGCGCACGTTGGGGTCTCTGTCCGTAGAGTTGCATATTGAAGATTTAATGGTCGTGGATTGGTCTAATGCGGTGCCACCTCCTGTGATTCATATTCCCCCATCAGTGAAACAGCTAGCTATGGTAGACTCTGAAAATCTCAAGGCTTGTTTGGTTTCAAAGGCACCTCTTGTTCATCTCCGAAAGATTTCCATTTGCAATTGCAAGTATCTGACGTCCCTGTTTGATTATATGGAACGTCTTCTTCCAAATTTAGAAAAGCCTAAAATAGAAAGATGTCCAGAAATGGAGCCATTCTCACCGGGTTGTTACCATCCAGCTTAAAACAACTTGAGATTATAAAGTGTGACAAGTTGTTATCATGTCATGCAAAATGGCATCACCTTCCAAGTATCAATAAGCTTGTCATCTCTACTGGTTCTGACACACTGCATTGCACAGGGCTTCAACACCCAACCTCTCTTCAACAACTCGAACTTCGGTATTCTAACAAGCTTGAGAAAATAGAAGGAGGAATGACGCCTCCTTCCCTACAAATGCTCCATATTAGGGTTCGCTCGCTTCTCGAAAAGCGATGCTTCGACAAGGATGAGGAAATTTGGCCCAAAATCTCTCATGTTCCATACATCAGTGTAAATGGCGAACGTTTAGGATGCGTTGATCCCTTATTCCAAGTACTTGGTTGATATAAGTATCATATTTTGCATATTATATGCAAGTAGAGAAGCTGGTAGTGTTTCCATATAAATTGTTTCTCAGTGTTCAATTATCTGGTTCTCTGAATCCGCCAATGTTATTACTCTTCTTATGTGTATACAGATTCATTGGAGTGAAATTTCCTTCTAAGACTCTTTTTCTTGTTTTTAGTATTTTTCTTTACTCTCAACTTCTTGAAACATGCCTCTCTTTTGGTGGAAATTTTGTAGCTATTTAATTCTTCAATGCCTTCTTCAAATTCTTTCATTTACTAGTTCTTGTACATACACTCACTACATTTTTTTCAAGTACTTTTTGAAAAAAATAAAGGAGTACATTTATTATTCCCAGATACAACATTCAAAATTCTCTGTCCAAGTTAGGGGACAAAT